AATCAGGGTATTGTGTGGGTTCCGGACTATTTGGTTGGGTTCTAGCAGCATGTCAATGCTGGTAGAACCGGCCATTCAGCCCGGAACCCGCACAACATCCCAGTGATTCTGCCCGCGAAAGCCTTTGCCAAGACTTTTCCAAATGCTTAGGAATCTTCTCCACTTCCTCCATTCCTCAAAGTACGGCTCCATCTCTGCCGCACGGAAGGGAAGGTTTGAATGATATCTTGTCATGTCGCCAAATTGGAGCCTGACCAAAAACCATTCCGATCTTGCCTCCCGCTTCCTCCTCGGGGCCCGTTCCTCCGTCTGTCCGTCGTTGCCTCTTCCAGCCCACAACGCCGCCGCGCCAGATTCTTCAGGAGGATGTTTTGATTCTGAAAAACCTAGCAGATGCTCTCTTTTTTTCCTTCAGCATTTGTGCTTTTGGGGAATTCTTCAAGGGCTCGGTTGTTTTCCAGTCGTCCTCAAACGGGGAACTAGTGCTAGCAAGTCGGCCACATGGAGTTTGAGTGACCCAGGTTCCATTGAAAAAACGAATGGTTCTTTGTTCATTGCACCTAGAGCCCTATTATATGTACCTATATTGATCATAATATTGTAATACACTATAATACTAACAATAATACAATAAAATAATATGATAATTATATATTTTACATTACATGTAATATTACTAATAATATTGCAGAATAGTGGTGTAGTACAATATCTAATACTATATATAATATAATATATAATACTAATATATATATATATATTACTAATATAATACTAATATATAATCTATATATATATATATGTTACTAATATAATTATATAATATATATATATATATATATATATTACTAATATAATACTAATATATAATCTATATATATAAAAATGGAAAGGGTGTTCAACGGGACAGCAAAACGCAAAAAAAACCCCGACGAAAACTCACCAAATTTGCCGTGCACATACCTCAACCCACAAGGTATGCACAACACTCATCAAAATTCCAAACAACATTCCAACAAACTCACAATTGCAAAAACCAACTGAGCATGCGCAGTGCCCAGGGGAGGAAGTACACACGCAATGCACTCTGGGAAGGAAGGAGAGAAAGGAAGGGAGGGAGGGAGGGAGGGAGGGAAGTTGAGAAGGTATATGAAAGAAGAAAGGTAGGAAAGAAAGAGAGAAGAGGATGAAAAAAGAAGAAAGGAAGGGGAAGGGAAGGTGTCAAAAAGGAAGGAAGGGGAAAGGGAAGGAAAGGAAGGAAGGAAGGGGAATTTGGGAAGGGGAAGAGAGGAAAAAGCAAAGGAAGAAGAGAAAGGGAGGGAAGAAAAGAAAGAAAGAAAAGGAAGTCTGGAAGTCAAGAGCGAAGGAAGGAAGGAAAGAGATAGAGAGGGAAGAAAGGAGAGAAAGAGGAAGGGAAAAAAGGGAGGAGGAAGGAAAGAGGAAGAGAAGGAAGGAGGAGTGAAGGAAAGAAAAAGGGAAGGGAGGAAAGACGGAGGAAAGGAAGAAGAGAAAGAAGGAGAGAAAGAGGGAGGGAAGGAAAGAAATAAAGAGAAGGAAGGATGGGAGCAAAAAGCTAAGGAAGGAAGTAAACAGGTAGAGAAGGAAGAAAGGAAAGAAGAAAAGAAGACTGAAAGAAGGAGAGAAAGAGGGAGAGAAGGTTGGCCACAGCAACACGTGACGGGTAAAGCTAGTACTAATATATAATATTAATTTTAATATATAATACTAATATATAATACTAATATTGTGCTATTCTAATAATATAATATAATATATTGTATGTACATATAACTTGCAAGCCACTTTGAGTCTCCTTCCAGGTGAGAAGGGCGGGATATAAATCTATATAAATAAAAATGTAATATTCGTTTGTGGGATTAACATAACTCAAAAACCACCGGACGAATTGGCACCAAATTTGGACACAAGACACCTATCAGGCCAACGAGTGACCATCACTCATAAAAACACTGAAAAACACAGCAAAAGGGACTTAAAAGGCCAAAAAAAAATTTAAAAATTCATTACAGCACATGTACAAAATCACATATTTACACATATACACAATTATATACACACACATACACATATATACACACAGAAAACACATATATACAGACTGGGCCACAGCAACAAGTCCTGCTTCTTGGCAGAATGGGGCTGGACTGGATGGCCCACGAGGTCTCTTCCAACTCTATGATTTTATGACTATGCTGGATAACACGTCGGACACTTCCCAAGTGTCTAGGACTGTGTGATGTATCAGTGAATAATGCATACGGATCCAAGTAGGGTGGCCTTTTGCAGTTGACAGATGGTGATTTTGTCAGTGCTGATTGTTTTTAAGTGCAGGCCAAGGTCTTTAGGCACTGCACCCAGTTTACCCATCATCCCTGGGACCACCTTGACTGGCTTGTGCCAGAGTCTTTGCAGTTCTATCATTATTATTATTATTATTATTATTACTACTACTACTACTATTATTATTTAAAACACAACAAGATGAGTCCACAGCAGACAAGATCATTCTGCTGGCTGTTGTATTGGTTCACACGTCGGACACTTCTCAAGTGTCTAGGACTGTGCAATGTATCGGTGAATGATGCGTGCAGATCCCAGTAAGGTAGCTTTCTGCAGCTGGCAGATGGTAATTTTGTCAGTGCCGATTGTGCTTAAGTGCAGGCCAAGGTCTTTAGGCACTTATTATTATTTTACTGACACAAAAACACAGCATGTCACAGCAAATGAGATATATATGCTGTATCACAAAATTACAAGTTGAACACTTCTCATTATTATTATTATTATTATTATTATTATTATTATTATTATTATGTTTACTTATACCCTCCTTTTTCTCTCTACAAAGGAGACTCAATGTGACTCCCATGAAAAGCCATTAAATACAATCTTAGCTATGAGAATTCAGGGGTCAGCATCAGATGTTTCCCAAACTCCCACCAAAGACGACGGAGGGACTAGCAGTGTACAGTTTGCAAAATGAGGCCCTCAACACAATGCGGCTTATTTATTTATTTATTACGGTCGCTTATACCCCGCCCTTCTCACCCCGGGTGGGACTCAGGGCGGCTTACACAAGCAAGGCACAGTTCAATGCCCGCATTACATGACAACAAAAACACAACATCAGTTAACGACAGCAATTATAGCAGTGATAACAATTAACATCAGCAATAAATTATTATCAAAACAACCATAAAACCTGTAAAAGCAATAAAACAATAAAAGCAATACAAACCTCATTGCTGGTCAGCATTTAACAGACTCATAGTTTAGGTTCTACTACCACACATTATCGGACCTATCCATCTGGTTTCTATATCTAATTGTCAGGATGTCCAAAGGCCTGGTCCCATAGCCACGTCTTTACCTTCCTCCTGAAGGCAAGGAGGGATGTAGATGCCCTGATTTCCCCCGGGAGTGAGTTCCACAGGTGAGGGGCCACCACTGAGAAGGCCCTGCTCCTCGTCCCCACCAGCCTCACTTGTGATAGCGGTGGGGTCGAGAGCAGGGCCTCCCCAGATGATCTCAGATTCTGGGGTGGGACATAGAGGGAGATACGTTCGGACAGATACACTGGACCGGAACCGTAAAGGGTTTTGTAGGTCAAAACCAGCACCTTGAATTCTGCTTGGAGCTGAATCGGCAGCCAGTGGAGCTGACACAGCAAGGGGGTGGTGTGCTCCCTGTATGTCGCTCCGGTAAGCAATCTGGCTGCCGCTCGTTGGACCAGTTGAAGTTTCCGAACAGTCTTCAAGGGCAACCCCACGTAGAGTGCGTTGCAGTAGTCTATACGGGATGTAACAAGAGCGTGGACCACTGTGGCCAGATCAGACTTCCCGAGGTACGGGCGCAACTGGTGCACAAGTTCCGAGGAAGGGCAGGCGAAACCCAGATTTACAAAGCCAGAAAGAATCACACTATGTCACATGACTTTTGTTCCTGGGTTACAAATGTCATTTCTCAATTGGCTCTGTGCTAAAAACATGGAAAAGGCTTATTCAACTTCCCTAACTTCTAGGTTCTTGTGGGTTTTTTCGGGCTATAGAGCCATGTTCTAGAGGCATTTCTCCTGACGTTTCGCCTGCATCTATGGCAAGCATCCTCAGAGGTTGTGAGGTCTGTTGGAATTAGGACAATGGGTTTATATATCTGTGGAATGGCTGGGGTGGGGCAAGGAGCTCTTCCCTGATGCAGTTAGGTGTGAATGTTTTAGCTGATCACCTTCATTAGCATTTGAAGGCCTGCCTGAGCCTGGGAAAATCTCTTGCTGGGAGGTGTTAATCTGTGCCTGGTTGTTTCCTCTCTGTTGTTTTGCTGTTGTAATTTTAGAGTTTTTTAATACTGGTAGCCAGATTTTGTTCATTTTCATTGGTCTCAACACCTCCCAGCAAGAGATTTTCCCAGGCTCAGGCAGGCCTTCAAATGCTAATGAAGGTGATCAGCTGAAACATTCACACCTAACTGCAGCAGGGAAGAGCTCCTTGCCCCACCCCAGCCATTCCACAGATATATAAACCCATTGTCCTAATTCCAACAGACCTCACTACCTCTGAGGATGCTTGCCATAGATGCAGGCGAAACGTCAGGAGAAATGCCTCTAGAACATGGCTCTATAGCCTGAAAAAACCCACAAGAACCTAGTGATTCCAGCCATGAAAGCCTTCGACAATACATTCCCTAACTTCGTTTTTGCAGGAGGGAAAATGAATCTCTGAGCCAATTCCAATAGTTTGTAGCAGCCACAAAAACAACAAAGTTCCTGGAGGAGAACAACAACTTTCAAAGTCAGGACCACAGAATGAAACTGGAAATCACACTTTTGCACCAGGAACACATTTTTTTTCCAAACCTTGTTGTATAGTGTTATTGTTGCTGTCTCCCGGTGGTTCAGTGGAGATCATGTTGGGACGGAAGTGCTGTTCCTCTGCAAGGTGTTTTGACGGCAAGCACTTCTTCTTCTCCTCCCCTTTGCCCAGGCAATATCACCACCAGGATCCGGGCTACGGAGGCCGGCTCCGACGAAGCCATCAAATCCATCCTGGAGCAAGCCAAGAGGGAGTTGCAGGTGCAGAAAACAGGTAAGGACACACCTTGCCAGGACACAAGGCATGTGGTGACTATCTTGGACCCACGTGAAAAAAAGGTCGCCTTCCTTCCTTAAGCATTTCCAGAAAGGATGGCACAACAATGAATTTCTGTGTATTCGCACGTTGGGTCTTTTGCTGGCGAACTACCGTATTTTTTGGCATATTAGACGGCTGGGCGCATAAGACGTCCCCCCAACTTTTCAATTTGTCCAACAAAATGTATAAGCATACATTCTTCTCTCTTTTTACAGTATCTTAGACAAAAGTGTATGTCATATTATATACAATCTAACATTAAAAACATATTTAATCAAATTTTTATCATTATTTTTAAATTTTTATCATTATATTTAAATTTTTAAAATATACTTTCCCAATTTTTTTGTATAATTTTGCATGACCACCACATATGAAGGTAAGGTAAAGGTAAAGGTAGTCCCCTGACATTAAGTCCAGTCATGTCTGACTCTGGGGTGTGGTGCTCATCTCCATTTCTAAGCCGAAAAGCCAGCGTTGTCCGTAGACACCTCCAAGGTCATGTGGCCGGCATGACTGCATGGAGCGCCGTTACCTTCCCGCCGGAGCGGTACCTATTGATCTACTCACATTTGCATGTTTTCGAACTGCTAGGTTGGCAGAAGCTAGGGCTGACAGTGGAAGCTCACGCCTCTCCCCGGTATCGAACCTGCGACCTTTCGATCAACAAGCTCAGCAGCTCAGTGCTTTTGCCCCTATATTTCCTGACAGCCTCTCCAGCATTGATTTGAGTATTTTTTTTATCCATCTGATTTAATCTAATGGGAGTTAGATACCACCTCCATGTCATTTTGTAGTAATTTTCCTTAATTCTTATAAACATACTCCATATGTTTGCCCATTCTTGATTATTCACTTTTCCCCCAAATCTACTTCCCATACTTTTTTCAAATAAATTTTTTCTAGTTCATCAATAATAATAATTTATAGATATCACTTAGTGTACTTTTTAATGTTGCATTCTCTTCTTTCGTCTCTTTTGGATATATTAGAGTACCCCCCTTGCCAGCCCCTTCAAGCCCCGAAGCCTCCTTTCCTGGGCCTTGAGGCTGCTTCTTGGCTCCATAGAGGCGCCTCCCTACCACTAGTAGCCAGGTCCCGCCGTAGCCAGCCAACCACCGTGCTCATCATTTCCTGTTTTGGGTCCAAAATATCACTTCCTGTTTTGGATCCAAAACAAGATGGAGGCTCCTAACAGGTGAGGGAGGCGGGCAGCTGCCCTGCGCTTGAGCAGGGCACCCAAAGAAGCTGCTACTGCTGCTCTCCTCTGGCACCACTTAGCTCCTGCTACCGGGCTTCGGTCTCAACAACGGGCTCTTCCATTCCTTGCCCGACTAACTGTCAGTGTGGTGGCGGAGGAGGAAGGACAGCAGAGGAGGAGGAGGCAAGGGGCTCTTCCACTCCATGCCCGCCTCGGCTGTCAATGAGGCAAACAAGGCAGGCATGGAGTGGAAGAGCCCCTCATGGAGGCTGAAGCCCGACAGCAGGAGCCAAGTGGCACCTGAGGGCTGCCCTCCGGCACCGCTTAGCTCCCACTGCTTGGCTTCAGCCTCCCCAAGAGGCTCCTCCACTCCATTTCTGCCTCGGCTGTCAGTGCGGTGGTGGAGGAGGAGGAGGAGGTAACACTGCCGTCCGGCGAGTATATCGCCTCCTCCTCCTCTGCCTCACTGACAGTCAGATGTCCCTCCTGTCCCCCAAGCTGGTCCCCACCCCGGCGGGCCTCTCTTCAGTCTCCGGCTACTCCCCTTTGCCCATGTCCTTGAAGAAGCACTCATCCTCTTCCTCCTCCTCGGCAGAGTCCAGCCTCTGCTCGCTGCAGACCCTCAAGAAGGAGGCCCCCGAGAGCCCTGCGCTGGAGCTGCTCCATGGGGTCTCGGACGCCTCCACGCAAAGCGTGCTGCGGCACGTTAAGAATGAACTAGGGCAGAGCAGGGTGTGGAAGGACCACTGGTGGAGCACGGTGCAGCCGGAGCAGAGGGCCGCACCACCAGCCTTCGAGGAGGCACCCAAGGCAGAGGAGGCCCCTGGTGGGAAGGAGAAGCGCGGACAGTTGCTCCAAGGGCCCTCCTCCTCCTCCGCTTCCTCGGAATACTGGAAGGAATGGCCTAACGCTGAGTCGCTCTACTCACAGGGCTCCGAGCTGAGTGTGACGGGGGGCAGCTGCAGCGAGACCCCGCAGAAGAGCCCTCTCCCTTCCTCGGCTGTCAGTGCGGCGGTGGTGGAGGAGGAGGTAACACTGCCATCCGGCGAGTATATCGCCTACTCCTCCTCTGCCTCACTGACAGCCGAGGCGGGCACGGAGTGGAAGAGCCCCTCGGTGAGGCTGAAGCCCGTCAGCAGGAGCCAAGGTGCGCTGGAGGAGCTTAGCAGCTGCTGCTTCTTCGGGCGCCCTGCTCCAGCGGAGGGCAGCTGGCCACCTCCCTCACCTGTTAGGAGCCTCCATCTTGTTTTGGACCCAAAACAGGAAGTGATTTTTTAATACCCGGCGTACTAATCTACCCCCAAATTCAGCGAGGATTTTCCAGGGTTAAAAAGTCGTCTAATATGCCGGAAAATACGGTATATCCCAGAGTAGGAACACCTCTGTTCGTAGACACCACACCATTATAGTAAAATCAGCAAGTAGTTAATTGAAGGATATATGTAAGCAAAGCAATAAAAATGATAGAAACAGTATTTTCCAAGAAGTACAGATGGTCCATGAACTTCAGGCTACAAAAGTAAAAACAGAAGATCCAAAGATGCAAAACCCAAAAAAACAAGACGGCATGGAGATCCAATACCCAGAACAGGAATCTGGCAAAACTTGAAATATGAAACTAGAAATCCTCTTGGGAACAAGACCGTCATAAAAATCCAATGTTGACGAGACTGAGCTAAAATCCTTTCCTCGTCTCATACTTTGAATGTGATTATCCAGCTTCTTGGTAGGGGGTTGGAATAGATGGCCCACGAGGTCTCTTCCAACTCTATGATTCTATGATTCATATAAAGCTTTTCCTGTCCCATGAAACGAAAGGAAAGCATTCCACTTTGTTATAGAACCAGCTATTGAGAATTCAAATCATCTTTTCCATAGATTTTACTCACGAAGAGAGCACATGAGCCATGAGTTCACTCTCTTCCTTACTGCTTGATCCCAGGAATATTTTAAATGCGGGAATGTGCTTTCCCCCCCAGCTGTTGAGCCTGTTAATTCTTTAGTGAAAGCCAATGAATGCAGATATTATTTTTGGAAACATGTTGAAATTCATAGACATAATTGCTTAGCATAACACTATGTAAGTAAATTTGGAAAAAAATATTATGTTTCTGGTTTGAATGTATTATTCCTGTTTAATTGTGCAGGAAGTACCGTATTTACTCGATTCTAATGCTCATCTTTTTTTTACAAAATTACCTTCCCAAAATTAGGGCTTGCATTAGACTCGTGTAATATGGTCAATATTTTTTTTGGTTTGGGGGTTTTGAAAATTGGGGTTCTCGTTAGATTCTAGGGCGCATTTGACTCAAGTAAATACAGTTGCCGTTCTACTCCAGGAACTTCATTTTTTGTGGCTGCCACAGACGATGTTGAGTTGGTTGAAACTCCATTATGAGATATTCATTGAAAAACTAGGGCAAAATGTACAATAGCAGGATGGTGTCACTCCCACAAAGTTTGTGCAGTTTAATCAACTTTTCCCATGTTTTGATGATAGAAACCATTAGGAAATAACACTGACAACCCAGGAACACAAATCGTAGTGTTACATAATGCCATGCAAGGGGCAATGGCTTTGTTATAAAGCCAGCCCGCGCTCTCACTTGCACCCTTTCCCAGGAAATGGCATGTTCTTGCTTCTGAGGGGACGGGGGGAGCGAGGGTTGCAAGGAGGTCTGCCTCGAGAGGTGTGTTGTGCCATCCAGCGCATCTGATCCGACCACCGTTTCCCTTCTCTCTGCAGCGGAGCCTCCGCAGCCACCTTCCCTTTGCAGCAGTGGCGGTGGATCCGACGACGCCATCCGCTCCATCCTGCAGCAGGCCCGGCGAGAGATGGAGGCCCAGCAGGCCGCCCTGGAGCCCGCTTTGAAGGCCGCCCCATCGGTGCTCTCCCAGGCCGAGATGTCCCTCCTGTCCCCCAAGCTGGTCCCCACCCCGGCGGGCCTCTCTTCGGTCTCCGGCTACTCCCCTTTGCCCATGTCCTTGAAGAAGCACTCATCCTCATCCTCCTCCTCGGCAGAGTCCAGCCTCTGCTCGCTGCAGACCCTCAAGAAGGAGGCCCCCGAGAGTCCTGCGCTGGAGTTGCTCCACGGGGTCTCGGACGCCTCCACGCAAAGCGTGTTGCGGCACGTTAAGAACGAACTAGGACGCAGCGGGGTCTGGAAGGACCACTGGTGGAGCACGGTGCAGCCGGAGCGGAGGGCCGCGCCGCCAGCCCCGGAGGAGGTGCCCAAGGTAGAGGAGGCCCCTGGCGGGAAGGAGAAGCGCGGGCAGCCGCTCCAAGGGCCCTCCTCCTCCTCCGCCTCCTCGGAGTACTGGAAGGAGTGGCCCAATGCCGAGTCGCCCTACTCACAGGGTTCCGAGCTGAGCGTGACGGGGGCCAGCCGCAGCGAGACCCCGCAGAACAGCCCCCTCCCTTCCTCCCCCATCGTCCCCTTGTCGAAGCCATCGAAACCCTCCGTCCCGCCACTGACGCCGGAACAGTACGAGGTCTACATGTACCAGGAGGTGGACACCATAGAGCTCACCCGTCAGATCAAAGAGAAGCTAGCCAAGAACGGCATCTGCCAAAGGATATTTGGGGAAAAGGTACACATCCCGCCGGGAACGGTAGTGGTTGGAAAGAGGGTTGTGGGTGGAGGCATCCCATTGCTCTCTCCTTCCCAAAGCCAAGGTCTTTACTTTCTCTGAAAGGCTCGAGAACGTTGAGAAAAGACCCAGGGGCACCAGCAACACAAAACAAAACAAACCATGTTGAAGATGCCACAAGGCTTTCAGGGCTGGAATCACTGGGGTGTGGAGTAGCTGTATAGCCTTGTCCTAGCACAGTGGTTCTAAACCTGGGGTCCCCAGATGTTTTTGGCCTACAACTCCCAGAAATCCCAGCCAGTTTACCAGCTTTTAGGATTTCTGGGAGTTGTAGGCCAAAAACATCTGGGGACCCCAGGTTGAGAACCACTGTCCTAGCAGCATTTTCTCTTGACGTTTCATCTTCTTCTGTGGTTGGCATCTCCAGAGGTTCCAATGCTTCTAGAACACAGCTGTACAGCCTGGAAACCACACAATACATTATCTATAAGTCAGCGGTTCTCAACATCTGTGGGTCCCCAGATGTTTTGGCCTTCAGATCCCAGAAACCTAACAGCTAGTAAACTAGCTGGGATTTCTGGGAGTTGTAGTCCAAAACACCTGGGGACCCACAGATGTTCAGAAGCAGAACATGAGGTTCTTTTCTGGGAATGAGCAGAGGGGTTCACTTGAACATATGATATGGCTTCCGATCCAAGTGTAGATCCCATTGTGTATGGAATCCCCCTGGAGAAGGGCTGGGCGTGGCTTGAAGACCTGACTTTACCTGTCCCTGGCTCTTTCCTTCCCTCCCTCCCTCCCTTCAGGTGCTGGGCCTCTCCCAGGGAAGCGTCAGCGACATGCTGTCCCGGCCGAAGCCCTGGAGCAAGCTGACCCAGAAAGGCCGCGAGCCCTTCATCCGCATGCAGCTCTGGCTCAACGGCGAACTGGGGCAGGGAGTCCTGCCTTCTCAAGGGCAGCCCCTCGGACAAGGTAAGGGCACCACTGTCGTGGGTGGCCGTTGGTCTGTATTCGCGGAAGCTCTCTCCAGGTCCTTGGGTTGCCCTCTCCTCAGCTTCAGTCATAATCAATCTCGAGGCCTTCTCGTGGGTGGCACCGTGAAAGGGAAACGTTCCCTTGTGGGAGTCAGCGAGGATGGATACCACTGTTGTAGCTCAGCAAGTTGAAGATGTGGAGGGGTTTGGTATAGTGCAGCCAGCTGAGAATGTTGATGAGGAGTCTGGGGGTGCAGGACCAGTTCAGACAGAGGAGATGTTGGAACAGGAAGGCAATTTCCCAGTTGGGGGTACGGAGGACTCTCTGATTGAAAACGAAACTGTTTTGCAGAATGACAGGCTACAAAAGAGATTAGATAGAGAGGTGAGACTGCTTCTCCGTAGGAAGAATTCCAGATGGGAAAAAGCAGCCGAAGGAATGCTTTCATGCATTGCTGTCCTTATAAAGGGGGGGAAATGCTTTCAGTGTTTCAGATCAAGCAACTTTGCAATTAGAGCACACATCTTTTGCCTTGGTTCTTGCTTCAAGTCATGTCCTGCTCAAGTTTTGCTTTAAGTCTTGGGGATTTTACCATGAACTCAAGCTAATGTGTTGTTCTTTGATTCTTGGATCGCTTAAGTAGATGTTTTATTCCTCATCTTTGGATTTTTCAAGCTCATGAGTTTACCCTGCTCCTTGGATTTATATTCATGTTTTTAACCTTTGCATGGAGTTTTATCTCTGGTCTTGTGAGACTCTTTTTATCTTAGCTGCTGAACCTGCTGACTGAAAGGTTGGAGGTTCAAATCTGGGGAGCAGGGTGAGCGCCCACTGTTAGCCCCAGCTCCTGCCAACTTAGTAGTTCGAAAACATGCAATATGTGAGTAGATCAATAGGTACAGCTTTTGTGGGAAGGCAACAGCTCTCCATGCTATGAGCCCTATGAGGAGCGGCTTAAAGAACTGGGCATGTTTAGCCTGAAGAAAAGGCTGAGAGGAGACATGATAGCCATGTATAAATATGTGAGAGGAAGTCACAGGGAGGAGGAGCAAGCTTGTTTTCTGCTTCCTTGGAGACTAGGACGTGGAACAATGGCTTCAAACTACAAGAAAGGTGATTCCATCTGAACATTAGGAAGAACTTCCTGACTGTGAGAGCTGTTCAGCAGTGGAACTCTCTACCCCGGAGTGTGGTGGAGGCTCCTTCTTTGGAGGCTTGTAAACAGAGGCTGGATGGCCATCTGTCGGGGGTGCTTTGAATGCAATTTTCCTGCTTCTTGGCAGAATGGGGTTGGACTGGATGGCCCATGAGGTCTCTTCTATGTTCTATGTTCAGCAGTGGAACTCTCTGCCCCAGAGTGTGATGGAGGCTCCTTCTTTGGAGGCTTTTAAACAGAGGCTGGATGGCCATCTGTTGGGGGTGCTTTGAATGCAGTTTTCCTGCTTCTTGGCAGAATGGGGTTGGACTGGATGGCCCATGAGGTCTCTTCCAACTCTAGGATTCTATGTTCAGCAGTGGAACTCTCTGCCCCAGAGTGTGGTGGAGGCTCCTTCTTTAGAGACTTTGAAACAGAGGCTGGATGGCCATCTGTTGGGGGTGCTTTGAATGCAATTTCCTGCTTCTTGGCAGAATGGGGTTGGACTGGAGGGCCCACAAAATTCTTAACTGTGGGAGCCATTCAGCAGTGGAACTCTCTGCCTCAGAGTGTGGTTGAGGCTCCTTCTTTGGAGGCTTTTAAACAGAGGCTGGATGGCCATCTGTCAGGGGTGCTTTGAATGCAATTTTCCTGCTTCTTGGCAGAATGGAGTTGGACTGGATGGCCCATGAGGTCTCTTCCAATTCTAGGATTCTATGATTCTATGACCTAGGTAGTGTCTGTGGACAACGCCGGCTCTCCAGCTTAGGAATTGAGATCAACACCACCCACCAGAGCCGGACACGACTAGACTTAAGTCAGGGGAAACGTTTACCTTTCCTGTGCAGCAGAATGAATCCAGTTTAATTGCGCTATAGAACAGGGGTCCTCAAACTTTTTAAACAGAGGGCCAGATCACAGTCCCTCATACTGTTGGAGGCCGGATTATAATTTGAAAAGAACATGAATGAATTCCTCTGCAGACTGCACATATCTTATTTGTAGTGCAACAAACACTGAAAAACAATACAATAATTAAAATGAAGAATAGGTATTGTCGAAGGCTTTCATGGCTGGAATCACTAAGTTCTTGTGGGTTTTTTCGGGCTTTATGGCCATGTTCTAGAGCAGTGGTTCTCAACCTTCCTAATGCCGTGACCCCTTACTTAATACAGTCCCTCATGTTGTGTGACCCCCAACCATAATATTGTTTTCGTTGCTACTTCATAACAGTCATTTCACTACTGTTATAAATCATAATGTAAATATCTGATATGCAGGATGCATTTTCATTCACTGGACCAAACTGGGCACAAATACCCAATACACCCAAATGTGAATGCTAGTGGGGTTGGGCGAGGATTGATTTTGTAATTTGGGAGTTGTAGTTGCTGGGATTTATAGTTCACTTATAATCAAAGAGCATTCTGAACTCCACCAGTGATGGATTTGAACCAAACTTGGCTCCCATGACCAATGGAAAACACTGGAAGGGTTTGATGGGCATTGACCTTGAGTTTGGGAGTTGTAGTTCACCTATATCCAGAGAGCACTGTGGACTCATGCAATGGTGGATCTGGACTAAACTTGGCACAAATACTCAATATGCCCAAATGTGAACACTGGTGGAGTCTGGGGAAAATAGATCTTGACATTTGGGAGTTGTAGTTGCTGGGATTTATAGTTCATTACAATCAAAGAACATTCTGAACTCCACCACCGATACAATTGGCTCAAACTTCCCACATGGAATCCCCATGACCATCAGAAAATACTGTGTTTTCTTATGGTCTTTGGCGACCCCTCTGACCCCCTCGCGACCCCCTCAGGGGTCCTGACCCCCAGGTTGAGAAACACTGTTCTAGAGGCATTTCTCCTGACGTTTCGCCTGCATCTATGGCAAGCATCCTCAGAGGTGAGGTCTGTTGGAATTGGGAAAAAGGGTTTATATATCTGTGGGACGACCAGGGTGGGACAAAGGACTTTTTTCAGTTAACACCTAGCCCAACTGACAAAAATCCTTTGTCTCACCCTGGTCATTCCACAGATATATAAACCCTTTTTCCCAGTTCCAACAGACCTCACCTCTGAGAATGCTTGCCATAGATGCAGGCGAAACGTCAGGAGAAATGCCTCTAGAACATGGCCATATAGCCCGAAAAAACCCACAAGAACAAAATGAAGAATAATTTTAACAAATATAAACTTATTAGTATTTCAATGAGAAGTGTGGGCCTGCTTTTGGCTGATGAGATAGGATTGTTGTTGTTGTGTGCTTTCAAGCCATTTCAGACAGATTGACCCTGAGCGAGGGCCGGGTAAATGACATTAGAGGGCCGTATCCAGTTTGAGGACCCCTGCTATAGAATCATAGAGGGATGTACTTTGACAAGGCCAAAGAATGCTCATAATGCACCAAACTACAAATCCCAGGATCGCATGACATTCAGTGAGGCATGATGTCCCTCAAAGAGCATAAAGCACACCCTAATGTTGGGGAGGTCATTTGACCCGAAGTGAGCATTAGATGTGAGTCAATAGGCGTCGATGGGACAAAGGGGGGAGGGTGGTGGGCCTGTATCCTGGGCTGGGCCCTTCCTTGCTTTGCTGTGCCTCTCCGCTGCTCCCTCTCCTCCTGCTCATGGCCCGCTTTTCTTCCTCCAGCCCTTCCCTCGGTGGCCTCGCTTCAGGATGCCCTTCCGCAGGGATGCGCCAGCTCAGGTAATCATCCGCCGCTTTGGTGTCGCTCCGCTTTGCCTGGTTTTGCATGGCCTTCTCTGCTTGTTTCTCGGATGGACCTCCCGTTTTCCCAGGTCCATCCTGGAATAGGTTCAGTACATTCCATCCCATGTGGGTTCGGTCATAACCTTCAGGTAGTCTGCCTTCTGAGTCAAGCATTAAGGCAGGATCAGGGGCGCCTGAACACGACAGAACGGTGTTTGGGTCAAGCACTTCTCAGTAGTGCACCAACCATAAATAAGTTGGCTCTGGGGAGTGACATGTGTTCCTCCAAGGCAGCGGTTCTCAACCTGGGGGTCGCGACCCCCAAGGGGGTCATTTGGCCATTTCGGAGGGGTCACGAGGCTGCCTCCTTTGACCCCACCCCCAAGTCTTTGGCTCCACCCCCCAAGGCTTTGTGCGAGGCCAGGCCTAGTGTGAAGGAGCCCTCACCTGCCTTGGGTTCTCACTGGCCAGCAAGGGCACGGGCCAGGAGAGGGCTCATTCACGCGAAGCCTGACCTCGCGCAAAGCCTGCCTCGCCTACTTTGCACTCTCCGAAAATTATTTTATGGTTGGGGGTCACCACAACATGAGGAACCATATTTAGGGGTCATGGTGTTAGAAAGGTTGAGAACCACTGCTCCAAGGTAAATGCTCCTGACCCAAAACGCTTGGGACTGGAAGTGTTTTGGATGTTGTGGGGAGGGAGAGAGAATGTCAGAATTGGCATATACATGCATGATGAGATTTATTTATCGTGTCATCCGCAACCAGAACATTGTATTACATTTCTAATAGGACAAAACAAACAAATAGAGAGAAAAAACACACACAAATTTTGCAAACTTGGTAGCTGATTAAATGTCCTTTGACCAGTATCTGGCCACTTGGAGTGACTCTGGTGTTGCCGCAAGAAGGTCCTCCATCGTGCATGTGGCAGGGCTCAGGTTGCATTGCAGCAGGTGGTCAGTGGTTTGCTCTTCTCCACACTCGCATGCCATGGATTCCACTTTGTAGCCCCATTTCTGAAGGTTGGCTCTGTATCTCGTGGTGCCAGAGCGCAGTCTGTTCAGCGCCTTCCAAGTCGCCCAGTCCTCTGTGTGCCCAGGGGGGAGTCTATCATCTGGTATCAGCCATTCATTGAGGTTCTGGGTTTTGAGCCTGCCACTTTTGAACTCTCGCTTGCTGAGGTGTTCCAGTGAGTATCTCCGTAGATCTAAGAAAACTATTTCTTGATTTAAGTCGTTGACGTGCTGGCTGATACCCAAACAAGGGATGAGCTGGAGATGTCTCTGCCTTGGTCCTTTCACTATTGGCTGCAACTTCCCGGCGGATGTCAGGTGGTGCAATACTGGCTAAGCAGTGTAATTTCTCCAGTGGTGTAGGGCGCAGACACCCTGTGATAATGCGGCATGTCTCATTAAGAGCCACATCCACTGTTTTAGTGTGGTGCGATGTGATCCACACTGGGCATGCGTACTCAGCAGCAGAGTAGATGAGATTATCTTGGAATAATAATAATAATCATCATCATCATCATCTTTATTTATTGTGTGCCACCATATTCCCAAAGGGACTCGGGGCGGCTTACATGAGGCCAAGCCCAGCAATACAATAAAACAATATACAACAGAACACAGCAAAAATAAAACAAAATAATTTTTTTTTCGTGTCAGGAGCGACTTGAGAAACTGCAAGTCGCTTCTGGTGTGAGAGAATTGGCCGTCTGCAAGGACGTTGCCCAGGGGATGTTTCCCGGATGTTTTGATGTTTTTGTCATCCTTGTGGGAGGCTTCTCTCATGTCCCCGTTTGGGGAGCTGGAGCTGACAGAAGGAGCTCATCCACCTCTCCCCGGATTCGAACCTGTGACCTTCAGTCCTGCCGGCACAGGGGTTTAACCCACTACGCCACCGGGGGCTCATAAAATAAAATACAAACCCATTTTAAACACATCAACAATATAAAATCGCATTTAAAACACAGAAATTGATCACATTGGGTGGGCTGATTTGAATAGATTAAAAATTTAAAACACTGGTGAGACAGCAATTTAACGTGTCTGGACAGGAGATCTGAGAGGTGAGTAGGGCGTGATTGCACTAACAGGGAAAATAAAGTGTACCAAGGTCCATTTTACAGAGGTAGGTCATGTCAGGGTATTATTTGTTCATTCATCCATTGAAGGCACACTGGAACAGCCAGGTTTTCAAGCTCTTCCTGAAGACTGCCAGGGTGGGGGCTTGTCTAATATCTCTGGGGAGCGAGTTCCAGAATCAGGGGGGCCACCACAGAGAAGGCCCTCTCCCTCGTCCCCACAAGTCACGTTTGCGATGGGGGTGGGACAGAGAGAAGAGCATCTCCAGAAGATCGAAGAGATCGTGTAGGTTCATAAACACACAGGTAGGCGGGTCCCAAACCGTTCAGGGCTTTTTAGGTAAGAACCTGCACCTTGAATTAGGACCGGAAAATGAACAGCAGCCAATTGAGCTCCTTGAACAGGGAAGTTGACTGCTCCCTATAATTCGCTCCTGTTAGTCTGGCTGCCGCCCGTTGGACGAACTGAAATTTCCAGGCTGTCTTCAAGGGCAGGCCCACGTAGAGCAAATTGCAATAGTCTAATCTGGACATAACTAAGGTGTGGACCACCACAGCCAAATCGGGCATCACGAGATATGGTAACAGCTGGCGCACAAGTTTCAATTGTGCGAAAGTCCTCCCAGCCACCGCCGACACTGTGCTTCAAGTGTTAGCGAAGAGTCTAGGAGGACACCCAAGCTCAAGGAAAGAGGAAGGGGGTTCTTAGAGTTGGAAGAGACCTTGTGGGCCATCCAGTCCAACCCCATTCTGCCAAGAAGCAGGAAAATCACATTCTTAAGGAAAGAAGGAGGAAGCTTGAGTAAAGGGGGAAGTTTGAGGAAAGAAGGGAAGTTTGAAAAAAGGGGGAAGCTTGAGGAAAGAAGGGAAGTTTGAGGAAAGAGGAAGCTTGAAAGAGGGAAGCTTGAGGAAAGAAGGGAAGTTTGAGGAAAGAAGGGAAGTTTGAGGAAAGAGGAAGCTTGAAAGAGGGAAGCTTGAGGAAAGAAGGGAAGTTTGAGGAAAGAAGGGAAGTTTGAGGAAAGAGGAAGCTTGAAAGAGGGAAGCTTGAGGAAAGAAGGGAAGTTTGAGGAAAGGGGGAAGCTTGAGGAAAGAAGGGAAGTTTGAGGAAAGAGGAAGCTTGAAAGAGGGAAACTTGAGGAAAGAAGGGAAGTTTGAGGAAAGAGGAAGCTTGAAAGAGGGAAGCTTGAGGAAAGAAGGGAAGTTTGAGGAAAGAAGGGAAGCTTGAGGAAAAGGAAAGTTTGAGGGAAGAGGAAGCTTGAAAGAGGGAAGCTTGAGGAAAGAAGGGAAGTTTGGGGAAAGGGGGAAGCTTGAGGAAAGAAGGGAAGTTTGAGGAAAGAGGAAGCTTGAAAGAGGGAAGCTTGAGGAAAGAAGGGAAGCTTGAGGAAAGAGGAAGCTTGAAAGAGAGGAGCTTGAGGAAAGAAGGGAAGTTTGAGGAAAGGGGGAAACTTGAGAACAGAGGAAGCTTGAGGAAAGAGGGATGGCGTTTGAGGAAAGGGGGAAGCTTGAGGAAAGAAGGGAAGTTTGCGGAAAGAGGGAGGAAGTGAAAAGAGAAGGTTTGAGGAAAGGGGAAGTTTTAAAGAGGTGGAAGCTTGAGGAAATGGAGAAAGTTTGAGGAAAGGGAGGAAGTTCGAAAGAGGGGAAAGAAGGAGGAAGTTTGAGGAAAGAGGGATGAAGTTTGAGGAAAGAGGAAGCTCAAGGAAAGAGCGAACTTTGAGGAAAGGGGAGGAACTTTGAAAGAGCGGGAAGCTTGAGAAAAGGTTTTTTCCCCTTCCTCAAGCTTGAGGAAAGAGGGAGGAAGCTTGAAGAAAGCGGGAAGCTTGAGGAAAGGGAAGTTTGTTTGAGGAAAGAGGGAGGAAGTTTGAAAGGTGGAAGCATGAGGAAGGAGGCAAGTTTGAAAGAGGGGGGAGCTTGAGGAAAGAGGAAGGAAACTAAAGAAAATAGAGAGGAAATTTAAAGAAAGGGGAAGTTCTGCAGCACAGTAAGGCAATTGCAATGACACTGTGAGTCTCGAGGGGGGAGCTGTTGTTGAGGATGACGAAAAAGAACACCAGCCATAACAACTAAACAAAGGACACCCATAGGTCTAAGGTGGGCTTCTGCCTGGCCAAAACTAAGGGGCAGAAGCAAGGTTCACTTCACAGAGCCCACAGTTGAGCTGTGGAACTCCCTGCCACAAGAGAAGTTGAATGTCTCCCAAAGAGGATGAGATACATTCACACAAGAAGGGGTTACGAAAGGTTGGCAGGTCCTTCTCTCCTCCCCCTCTGCCTCTGTCCGCCTCTTTCTCTTACGCAAATGCATTTCACGTGTCCTTTTGTTCCACACCGGAGTCTTTCCCCTTTCTCTCTGCCGCCTCGTTTGGCGCCTGGGCCCTAAAAATAGCACCAATTCCAACCGGCAGATGTTCCGTTTGCCCTTTTGCAGAAGGGACGAGAATTAGCTTGTCAGCCGGGGCCTACGTAAAGCAGCTAAAATGGCATTTTGTACAGAAACTTTGCAATTACGCTCCTCAGCGGCTGCAGTGTTTATGGTTTGATTTGACAGCTTTTTTATGACTGGAGCACCTTCCCCGTCAGGCATGGAAAATATATTTGGAGGCTATCTAGGTTGAGCGTCCCCTATCTGAAATGCGTTTGGGATTTCCGAGTTTGGAGTGTCTATATTTGCATTGCGTAGCAAGGGGACTTGGAGATGCGATCTGGGTCTCGACACAAAATTTCACTCATCTTCCCTATGGGTGTGCAAATCCGTTCTGGTTTCATTTTGGATTTCGGGTGCCCCTCCATTATGTTTTCAGGAAGATTCCAGGAGATGCGGAGGCGGACCATTTGGGTTTGTAATTCGTTTGTGTTTCGGGAGAAATCTTTGGGAAGATTCCAGGAGATTCGGAGGCAGGACGTTCAGAT